CCACGATTAAGCTACCCATGGCCCGAAGCTGTAGATGCTTACAGGAACGAAAATGTCCATGGTAGACCCTGGATTTTCTTAGCATTCCTGGGATGCGCCGTGACCTTGTCTGGGAGGAGGATTGATGTGTACAGTTGAAAGCTTTGGAGCTAACTGACTGGCTAAAATTTGCGCCAATCTCTACCCATGTCACATTTTTATAATTGACTTGATCGATCGATGGATTCGATCTCTTTGACTTTCCAAGTTGTGGTTTCATTTGTACCCTTGTGAAGTTAGCAGGTTCTGCAGAAAATTGCTTTCGGCTTCTGCTGATGACGTCATTCTGACGCATGGCTTCCACTTAATTGCTCATTTACATAGAGATATGAAGCGTTTTCAGGCGCAGCATAGCAACCCATAGTGTGTCGTGAAGCCACCGTCTCGCCACATGAACAGAGCCCTTCTTATTTGCAGCATGCTTTTGGTTCGCCCCCCCCCTCCTGTCGTGTGATTGCTTTTTCCATCTGAACCTTGAGAGATTAGAGGTTTTTTTCTGAGCTCTGGGACACGTGTGGCTGTCAAGTGCAATAGTGCACACACACGTACTTAAACTGATTAAAGAACATGCTGTAATGGAGAGCTGATGGGTAGGGAGGAAGTGTTGGGAAGGATGATGGCTGGGGAGGCACTGGGCAATTCTAACACCTTGGAGCCCATGCAGACCATATGTGGGCTGCAGGACCGGGTAGGACCTTTCGGCTCACTTTTTGCGAACGAATAAAATTTTTGTTTTTTTTCCATTTCATTCGATAACCTTTCTTCTGCATCAAACTAGGTTTTTTCTTTCCAATTAGCTCGGAAGGTTCCTAAGAATTTCACTGAAGTCCTCACGCGGCCGCAAAACGTTAAACGTGCGCGCTCTCTAACGTGTTGAGGGGCTCTTTGACGAGTATTTTACGTTTCTAGGGAGTTCAATCATGTCATTAGGTCCGAAAGATTCGTCAGTAGTGGTAGTCGAATAGCACCCATAAAAGGTTATCCTGCTGTGATCGTTATGAGGGAAGGAACAGTTCCGATTTCCGGTTTCCGACCATTCGTTCCGGCTCTCGCAATCTTCGGCCTACTGATATCTTGAACATCTTCCTTTTCTTTTGAGGATAACTATTATTTTTATAACTACTAAGCATTTTTTATAATTATCAACTTATTTTCTTTTTTGTTGATTGTTTTTGTTTTTACTTAAACCGCTGCGATCTTATTGGTGCACCTTTGTATAGTAAGTAAATAAACATGTAAATAAATTGAACCAATTCGAAACCATAGCCGAACAGAGGGTGAAAAACTAATCGCCTTCGTACCCTTTATTTCGGAAAACGAGAAGAGCGTCGAGTGCAGACCACACACCACAAGTGACGACGGCCAGAAAAAAGAAAGAAAAGCCACTTTTTCTTGGCCGTCGTCACTTGTGGTGTGTGGTCTGCACTCGACGCTCTTCTCGTTTCCCGAATAGAGGTTTCTTTCCTCGCTCGATGAATTTTCCCTATCAAGCGAATAATCGATTTTGAGCAAAAGCCATGTACATGGCGTAATCGACGATTTTTCGTTACCGTACTTCTGACCTTCTCTCAACAATTTCTATGGAATCTCTTTATTTCGGAAGCGTTCACGTTCTCTACTTCGCTTTTATTGCTACTATAGTTTGTGCTCGATACCGATCAATATATCGATCGTTTCCAGGATGGCACCCTCCGGGGGTGATCCGTATCGATCGCCGCCGATTATACGAAAACGGACGTCATTCCCGTTGGTGGTGGTGTTTCGGAAACTGCTCGGTATTCTGGTGACCGTGCTGTTCATCGTCGTCGTCACCGTGGGCATCCCTGTCTACCTCATTCTAGGCATTATCGGGTTCGTCAAGAAGAAATCACGACGATGGACGTACGAAAGCGGGTGAGTGTCCCAAAAATGCTGACCCAATCGATTCCATGCGTGACTTCTTGGGACAGGCGAGAAATCCCGAGAAAGTTGAAGTTCTTTTGCAAATTTTCAGTTCATTTAGATGTTGCACACATCAATGGCCCCTTTGCGGTACGGTTCCAGAATTAGCGGGTATGATACTGACGGGTAGCGTGGATTTGGACGCACTTAACGATGGAGTAAGTTTGGCTCGATCGCATCGATCAATAACTCCAGTTATTGATTTTCAGATTCAACGGGTCATAGCGGATAGCCGATCGAATCTCTATAAAAATTCATCCAGTGATGTTAGCTCTCAACTAGGAAAATTATGGGATAACAGGTAAGCCAGCTGAGTTTATCGATCGATTTATTGACATGTCGATTGATCAATATCTTCAGCAGTTATCGATTGACAACGGATAACGAGTTGTTGGATCTACAACGGCAGGAAAATGTGTTACCAACACATCAAACCACCCTGTCCTTAGTACCTGAGTATTCACATACTCTCAAGGTGAGTGCATTTTTAGGGCGTTCCCACTCGGTTGAGGTTAGCTTGAGGTTAAGTTGAGGTTAGGCTGATCTTTCCACCTAACCGGAACCTCACCTCAACCTGACCCTATTTTGGAAGTTGAATTGAAAGAGCGATAATCTTCCAGTGTAAAAGTGACATGTTTTGTCCGCAAATTAGGAGAACTTAGGTTTAGACGTCAAACCCTAACCTAACCCTTCCAAAGTGACGACAAAAAGACTACAGTCCATCACTGCAAGGGACACTCCCAACTGGGATCGTCCAAACCCTCATGGTTAGGTAGCCTCACCGTGGCGTAACTCTTTAGGTCTCAGTTTGATGCCTTGCTCTGACCCCTTCA